AAACGCCATTTTATACACGAATTCAATTTAGGCACGAGGGAGCTTGCGAGCGAGTTCTTAAATTAATGAGTGTATAGAAAAGTTTATAAACGAGGTGCATACTATACTTTTTCTACGACAAATACTTATTATTATCTTAAAATGATTTAAATCAAAAATTTGTATAGAGCGCCATCTATGAAACAATAGGGGAATCTGTGTGTCACCGTCAAATGTCATTTTTTTTTATTTTATAAACACAGATTATAAAGGTTATAAATCGAAATGTATTTATTGAAAATTGACAGTTTTTCACAGTGAAAGTAAAGAAAATGTTTTATGAACACTTTACAGTGGAGTCCGTGTCCGAATTTAAGTTATAGTTTACTGCCGGCGAAATTAAAAGGTCAGTACAATGTTCATATAAACTTTTCAAATATTGGCGTTGAGAAACTATTTAATACTTTTGTATTTTTGTATCGAGATAATAAAATAATTTTCACATTTAATATTATTTTACAAGAAAGATACTTTATTTTAACGATTGTAGGACATTTGACAACTGTCAACTAACTTAAAACTAACTTCAGCCCGTGACTAAAAATCTGATGCTAACTTCAGCCCGTGACTACAGCGCCATAAAGCCACAACTTGTCAATGTGTATTTAAAAGGTGACTTAGTGTCATGGAAACATGTACGATAAAGTGCGTTTTAAACGTGGGAGTAGAAAAAATATATTTTAGGATTGAAAATAGTGTTTTCATTCTACAACTTAGTAAAATTAGTTTTTTAACTTGATATATCTATAGAAGCTATAAAAACAAATTTGCAGAAAGAGCATTAGCCTATTTGGTAGATTTACGGATTAACAAATTTTAAACAAAATGCTTGACCGTAGACGAGAGAAGTTAGCCAAGTTAAATACAATTTTGATTTTTCTCAGCACTTTTAAAAACGCGCTCTATACATACCATTATAATAATTAAAAATAAAGGTTTTAATATGTATTTTTTTTTCTTTAGCGGGAGGGAATATTTTGGATTAATTAAGTATTTAAATTAAAACAGTACAATTAAAAACCAATTAAATACAATTTTAACTTTGACTTTTTACAATTTTGATTTGATTTTCTATTAAAATGGTTATTATAAGTAAACGACTGTAAACTTATGAAATGTAATCAGCATGAAGCCAGTTGTTTGAAGTTCAATATTTACATGGCGCAGAATTTGGGTATTGGTGTTTCAAAGTTTTTGTAAACTATACCATATACTAGACTATAGTCTCCTGTTATTTGGTAAGTACATATCATGATATTAACAATAATGATTAATTTAATTTTAAATTAAAAATTACGCGTTTACTTTAATAATAAGGAAAAGTAAATAGAACGTTAAAATTTCATTTCTTTTTTTATTTTAAAATGTCATTTCCGCTCGTGGCTTATGTAGTGGTAAAAACATGTATAAAAAACAATGCAAAGAACCAAAATTATAATTTGCATTATCAAAACCATTTTCAGGAACAGAGATTGTGATTAATAGGATTAGTAATGAGCCAACTGATAATAAAATAAAAAACATAAATAAAACTTTTTGGTGGTTTTTAATTTTAATTTATTCAACATCATTTCCCAAACATTAGGTTTATGGAAGTGACCATTATATCACATATGTCAATAGACAACGTTATAGCGTTTTTTAGTTTAGTTTTTTCACTATGCTTTTTAAGTTTGTTGTTTGTTTTAGTGTTGCTATTTCTATAGGTATGTAAAAAATGTAGAGACCTCAAAACAGCAAGAAAAGATTTATAAAAATCGTAGATTTAAGAAGTATGTATTTATTTTAAAATTTAAAAAAATATATCAAATATTTTTATAAATTCAAGTAGTTTACTAGTATTCATAGATAAAGGCTTGAGTGCAACACTGGCTGCCTATATCCAATTTCGTTTTTTATTGATTTTCAATATTTCCCTTCATTTCTATACTCTCTAAAAATGAATTAGTCAAAAAAGACTAATTTAATTGTTATTAGTGGCTGCTTTTTCACTTGTACCATGGTTAACCAGCCAACAATTCTTATGTAAAATTGTCCCCTGAAACCGAAAGGTTAAAAAAGTAGAAGAGTATTTGAGATATAGTCAATTTTCCATTTAATATGGAATTGACTATATCTCAAAAACTGCTCCACTTTCATAATTTTTTACGGTATTTTCGGATTCAGAGGACAATTTTACATAAGAATTGGCTGTTAAATTTTGGGATCCCATACTTGGACATGACATTTACAGCTTTTAAAAGCTATCAAATGTAAATTAATATGTTAATTTTGTGGTGTCTTCTTACTTTTCTCCGACACTTTGTTACTTCTTGTGACGTTTAAAACACTTGCCACGTAATACTGTAACCGTCCATCTTGAATTAAATCAATGGCTCTGGCAACATCAGTCGGAGAGATATTCATATTTAAAAGTAAGAAGACACCTAAAACTTAAACAATAATTTTCAAAAAACAATTTGATAGCTTTTGAAAGCTGTATAGACATGTCCAAGTATGGGATGATTCAACAACTGTCACTGTCATCCTCCATAGGCTATGGATGGACCATAGCAACCTTAGTTCTTTATGCAGAAAAAAAATTGGAAATTGCAATGTTTTTTTTAAAAATCCATATTTTCCACAAAAATAAATATGTCGAGGTAAACCAAAACCAAAACTGTTATTAAAATAAAAAAATATTTAAAATGGTATAAAACCTGAAATATTTGGATTTTTTAAATAAAATTTTAAATTTGTTTATAAATTATAGTAGATTATAAATTGCACCACTTTAATTTGAATAATCTTAAATACCCCCGCCTGGAGGCGTGTGAGGCAACATGAAAAACTAACTTTATTTCGCAAACTTCAATTTAAATTCTGTTTGCGCCAAACTTGTTTATTTAATGTCATTATAAACTATTATAAATTTGGTGTGGGTCCCATGTCTAATAACTGAAATATTGGTATACATAAAATCCACCAGCCGCCACTACTATAAAAAAAATCAAAAGGTCAAAGTTTGTATTAAAAATTTTGTATTACAAACGTTTATATAGGTAATCTTTTCAAATATTGATTAATAATCTTTAAGGTAGAAGAAATTATTAGCAAAGATAAACAATTTTTGTACATTTTAAAACTTTAAATTTAAGTAACAATTTTTTACCTCAATAATTCAGTGGCGGCTCGTGGGTGTACAGGAGGGTGAGGCTACATAAGGTTAATTTTGTCTAAATACGAATAAATTTCCACGTCACCCGGGAGGTATTATTCTCCGACGCGTTGACCTTTTTTAAAATGGAGCCGATAGCACTACTAAACCAAAAAATAAGCTCTAAAAAACAAAACAAACAAAATATCACATCAAAGACTAGTTTTAATCTTAAACTTAAAAAATAGTCTTAAAAAAGTTAAAAATAAATAAATTAATCAAAAAATAAAACTAAAAAGTCGACCCCTACCTAAGTATTAAAAAATATAAAATACTATACGTCTATCTTTTAAGATTGAAAATTTATCTATTATTTGGTCGTAAAATTGTTGGTCTGCAGTGAGATTTAAAAGTAATTCTAAATTTTCAAAAGAATTATGCAATCTATTATTTCAAAATATAAAATTTGCTTAATAAAAACTGCTAAATCTACCTTAGTGTGTTCCCTACAATAATTAAATAAGAAATTTTACTAATCGAGACAAAAACTATAAAAGATCAGCCAAAAGTTTTAAATAATTTAATCTGAATCAAAACAATAACGTGCTCCACAAGCGCTAAGATAAGACTGGCAACCTTCTTTGTCTCCGCTGGCATCCCACCATAAACGAACGACCAATCAGAACAAACCAAGCTAACTTGATTTCGCCTCATGTACGGTGTTTATTCGCGAACTTACGGCGATATTTTTGTTGGTGAGTCATTTTCGCTTTCAAGACGTAAGTGGGAGCTTCCGAGGCTGTGAAAATTTCGCCTCTGTCCAAGCCAAGATACATACAACAAGCGACTCGACGCGCTTTGCGCCTGGATTTTTATTTACGCTTATTATTATTGATTGGTTTTTTACTTTTTATTGGGTAGAACTGTTGTAAAAATTACAAGTGTATAGGCAAAAATATAAATACAAAAAGTCGTTCGTTCCTTCATTTTAAGGGTGAGGCGCGGCCTCAGAGGCCTACCCTGACGAGCCGCCACTGCAATAATTATTATTTAACACAAAATAATTTCGAAAAAATTTTGAAGGTAATTCAGGACATATAAATTTATTTAAAAGGTCGTTAAAAAGACGTTGATGACTTTCAAAAATATTTACATCCATAAAATTCATATAAGGAGCTAGAAAATATACGAAGGAATATATGACGAAGTATTTTTCAAGTTTGCTTTTTTCACTTTGGTAGTATCACCTAACTTATTTGTTTAGTCTTAACACAATTTTGGAAAAACAGAAAAAAACCTACTTTTTATTTTTTGTAAAACTTAAAATTTTCCACGATTTTTTTTTGCATTTTCCTTTTTATTAGCAAATTTTGAATGTTTTGTTATAATTTAGTTAAACGACATTGAAAAATATTTTTTTATCAAAAAATCTGACATCTTTCAGATGGTTAATCTTACTTTCTATAGTTTCCTTGGTACTTACACAAATTTTAAATATTATTATATTCGCATCTCCCAACTTAAAACCCGATTGGTTAAAATCAGTGAATATTGAAATTGGCCTAATACGGAAGCGTAGAAGGGCCACACTTTTTTTTTTAATATACGTTACTCGGAATTCCGACTTATAACTCGGAATTCCGACTTATAACTCGGAATTCCCACTTATAACTCGGAATTCCGACTTATAACTCGGAATTCCGACTTATAACTCGGAATTCTGACTTATAACTCGGAACACTAACGAACACTTACAAACACCTACGAACACTTACGAACACACCCACAAACACTCACGAACACCCATGAATACCCACGAACACCCATGAATACCCACGAACACTTACAAACACTCACGAACACACCCGCGAACAACCACGAACATCTACGAACACTCACGAACACACCCACGAACACTTACGAACACACCCACGAACACTCACGAACACACCCAAGAACACCCACGAACAGCCACGAACACTCACGAACACACTTACGAACACCCACCGAACACATACGAACACTCATGAACACACCCACGAACACACCCACTAACACTCACGAAAATACCCACGAACACATACGAACACCCACGAACGTGAGTGTTCGTGGGTGTTTTCGTGAGTGTTCGTGGGTGTGCTCGTGGGTTTGTTCGTGGGTGTGTTTGTGAGTGTTCGTGAGTGTTCGTGCTTGTGTTCGTATTTGTTCGTAAGTGTTCGTGAGTGTTTGTGAGTGTTCGTGTGTGTTCGTGGGTGTTCGTGAGTGTTCGTGGGTGTGTTCGTATTTGTTCGTCAGTGTGCGTATTTGTTCGTGAGTGTTCGTGGGTGTGTTCATGGGTGTGTTCGTGAGTGTTCGTGGGTGTGTTCGTGGGTGTGTTGGTGAGTGTTCGTTAGTGTTCCGAGTCGGAATTGCGAGTTATAAGTCGGAATTCCGAGTTATAAGTCGGAATTCCGAGTTATAAGCGAGAATATTAAAAAAAAAAAGTGTGGCCCTTCTACGCTTCCGTAGCCTAACAATGCTATTGATAATTTGAAAATATTATACCGACGAGATTTTTAATTTAGTTTTAGGAAAAATTGAACTGTCTATGGACGAAAGTGAATATGTTTTTGAAAAAGGAGGCAATTTAGATATTTACTGTTATGGAACTGAAAGCATTCACTGGAAAGTCCCAAGGAATTCAGTACGTATAAAGTTAAAAATAAAAAATAAAGATAAAAAAGTCAAATAATTAACAATTATTGTGATATTTTAAGGATAACTACACTGAAATTAATAAAAAAAGTCTACCAGGAAACAACACCTTTTCATATATTAATTTACTCGAAATAAGGAATATTTCATACCTCTATGTGGGATCATACATGTGCGTTGGTCAAAGTGAAAACACTTCTATATATTTCTATGTTAAAGGTAACTTATTTTTATATACAGGGTGTAATTAATGTTATATATTAAAATGGGTTATTATTATGGTTCATAAAGAAGCACCTAAAACTTTTTCTTTCTAAATTCCAAAGACTAAAAATAATTTATAATAACCTTTATCCTACCAAAAAGTACGCCACTGCTCGACTAGGAACTTTAGGCTAATCTGGTTGCTTAATTTAATTTATTATGTTATGGTTGGTAACAACAGCGTTTCCAAATTCTGTCAAAAAAGTTTCCAAGCATTGTTTAAATTTAGCTTAATTACAAAAATGACAAAATTAACAATGCAAATTGTCAATTTGGCGTTTTTATTAATTGTTGCTTATGTCATTTTTGTACTGAAGGTAAATTCAAACAAAATCTGACAACTTTTATGACAGAATCTAGTGCATTTTTTTCAAATTTTAGGTTATGTGCTCAAATTGTAAATATCTTAACTAAGGGAAGTGCTTTTGGATTTATTTACACAAATTAAATGTTTAAAGTTTAACCTATGAACTGGTCCCAATTTCATCTGGGTAAACAAAGAAAAAAAACCGAGGAAAAAATTAATTTTGTAGTGGATGGATGGATTTTTTAAATTAACATTTACTAAATGATATATCATTGCTTAAGCTAATAGCTGGATGAGTAAATAAATACAGAAGGGTATTAGAGCTTTAAGGGCATAAAACTTTTGTATTTATTGAGTTTTTATTTATTTTTTGCAAGAAAAATGTTTAGTAACAATTTTTTACATCTGGTACTGCGCAGCTACTTTGTTGGTTGGTATCTATGTACTCACACAACACAAGTGTGCAGAGATAAACCATGTGTTTAACCAGTGGCATATCACAAAAAATATAAAAAAACTTCTAATGCATATTTTTTCTTTACTCCTTATGTCAAAAGGTATTCAGTATTTTAATATATAACATTAGTTACATAACACCCTGTATTTACATAAATAACAACAATATTATTTTAGATTTGAAACATTTATCTACATATGCTGAACTCGTAGGGAATGTTTTTGAAAGGCGAGGTTTGGATTATATTTTACCATGCAAACCTACTTTTCCGGAGGTTGAAGTTAAAATTTTTGACAACGACATACAAGAATATGTAAGTATGTAAGAGGGCTGTCTAAAAGGATAATGACTATAATATATGACTATATATTATATCATCGAGATTTTACCTTAAGTTTTTGACAAAGTCGCTTATAGTGATGGGTGTGATTTCATCAATCATCTTTTTGGTTACAAAGTCAAAACAAACAACCATATTTTTTATTTTATACACTTGTCCTTCATATTAATAACAAATAATAGATTTTTAGCCGATTGTGACTAAGAATTTATCGATGCTTTTATAAATCCATTTTGTATTTGGATTAATGATCATTTATCTCTTATAATTGCTTTAAAACCTCTATTTTATTTAAGATAACATTTGGAGAACTTGATGACAACGATTTTTTATACACATTTAATCCCCAACATGGAGTTATCAGGACTTCCAAAGAATTTGTTGAAGAAGTATCGATAGATTGTAATTTTAAGTATAGAAATATAACCCAACACGTTACGGTAAAAAATAACGCAAAAGGTAAATATTTTAAAAAAATTTTAAAATATAAACTTACATGATGTTTCAACTAAAAACACTTTATTTTACTTGTAAGAAGCCATTAACTATAAGGTCCGTAAAAAGACGTAATTTCTTTTGATATTAAAGATAGTATAATATCAAGAGATAATGCAGGCTATTATTTACAAGGATGTGGTTTTGCGTTTCGAGTTGCCAGGCGAGAGACGCAAATCATTTGAGTTTATCGATTAAGGTATCTAGTCCAATTAGTTAATAATTAAATGACTTTTAAAAATAAATAAATAAAATCTGTCATCTGTCAGATATTTAAACTCACTTTCTATGGTTTCTATGGTATGCCAATTTTATATATAATTAAAGTGGCATCCTAATTTAAAACCCGATTGGTTTAAATCAGTAAATATTTAAATCGGCCAATCACGGATGCCTTATAACGTTTGGGTTATAATGGCTATCACTATGTGCGGAAATACCCCAATATTATGCAATAGGAGTAGAAAAAAACATTTAAACATATTTCCCAAAATCCTTACTTATTTATCAAGGTACAGGTTGTCGAAAATTATTGTTTAATTTAATTTTTGCAATAATCTTTTTATATTAATTTGAAAATATTATACCGACTGTTTGTTTTACAAATAATAATTATAACCATATTATTGATTTCTTATTCAGGATAATAAATATTATTAAATAATATTATTTCACTGGGTTTTAAATAATTATTTTAACTTTTTTATACAGTATGGCCCATTAACTATTAATATACATATATATATATATATATATATATATATATATATATATATATATATATATATATATATATATATATATATTAATAGTTAATGGGCCATACTGTATACAGGGTGTCCCAAAAGTCAACGATATCCTTTGGAGAACTGATAGGCCAACTTATGACCAATCAGAAAATCAAAATATATCCTTAGTGAAAAATCGTTAGTTTTTGAGACATTGTTATTTTTATGAATTTTGTAAAACTTAACACCTTGGATCAGGTTTTCGATTACCACAGCTACAAAATTCCATATTCTAAGATTATTTTATGTTGCACAACCCTGAATAAGCCTATATATATATATATTCTCTAAAAAATTACTGGGTGATTCCATTTAAGATTGATTGTGTGTATAAACATAGATATATCTATCTATTTCTTTATAGTAGATATATGATTTGAGGTATGAAACAATATTTAATTTTTACATAAATGATAAATTAAATGAAAAAAATTATAACCACGAAATTTTTATTTTGGTTTTAGAGATAATTAAACTGTCTATGGACGAAAGTGAATATGTTTTTGAAAAAGGAGGCAATTTAGATATTTACTGTTATGGAACTTTAAGCATTCACTGGAAAGTCCCAAGGAAATCAGTACGTATAAAGCTAAAAATAAAAAAAGTCAAATAATTCAAAATAATTGTGATATTTTTTAGGATGGCTACACTGAAATTAATAAAAAAAGTGTACCAGGAAACAACACCTATTCATACATTACTTTACTCGAAATAAGAAATATTTCATTCCTCTATGTGGGATCATACATGTGCGTTGGTCAAAGTAAAAACACTTCTATATACATCTTTGTTAAAGGTAACTAATTAAAATTTATTTACACAAATAAAAACTATATAGTTTTAGATTTGGATCATTTATCTACATATCATAAAGACATATTGCACGCTAATTCAACGCCAGGTTCACAATACATAGCACCATGCAAGCCGACTTTTCCAGAGGTTATATTATTATTTGATGAACTTGAAGATGTAAGTATGTAAGAGGGCTGCAATCCCATCAATATGGTTCTACAAATAAAATACATCAAAATTATTATTTCGTCTCCTTATTTAATGAAAATCTTATACCAAAAAGCAAATTTTTCATGTCGAAAGTCGAAAAGAACTAGATCTGAACTGTAAAATGCAAATCGCTATCTAGTATTTTTCCAGTCTTAAGTTTTCTTTTAATTTTTTCAGCTGGACTAATTATAATTATTGGCTATTATAGCCCTGTCCAGTAATCTCCTGTAATTGTTTTGCCCTTTTGAGGTTAATTACTAAAGAGCACTTTCTTCTTCCCCTCGGTGCACTGCATGCAAATGGCTGCTACCCTTTGTTTTGCACAAAAAAAATTGCAATTACGCTTAAAACTATTAAACTAACCAATCTTTTTATACACATTATAAACTGCGCACAACTTAATGTGTCGCGACCAAAAAGTTCGTCCTTTTTCAAAACGACATAACTTTTTTGTTTCTTAACCGATTTTATTTTGGTCTGTGATGTCTGCTAACCCCATCATCTGGCAATTCATGCTATAGATATTAGGCCCACCGTTCTTTAAGTAAATTTCCTACAGGGTGAAATGTAAAACGGTGAAAAAAAGACTTCATCCAAGCCCAGTTTGTAAAAAAATATTTTTTTTTCGTTTTTACTTTGAAATAATGAAGTATTATGTGTTACCTTGAAACGGTTTTCAAATTTTTCGAATTGGAATCTTAGCAACGAAAATATGATTTTTTTTCCAAAAGAGTACATTTAAGGCTTTTTGGTAGGCAATACACTCAGTCTTTTTAAGAACAAGAAAATAAGATGGTGAAAGATTATTTCTTGAATAATTCTAAACAAGCGACAAGCAACAAATTTACATTATTTTCAGAGGGGCCTAAGCAAAGACCACTTTTTTAAAATGACATTTTGGTGAAAATTTGCGAAAACTAAACCTGATTGTGATTCAGTTGTCAAATTTAAGTTTCAGATAAAATCAAAATCACCAGGAATCAAAATTCGAAAACCATTCTCTGCTGTTAAATGTCTTAATAAAATCCGATTTATGGCGTTTTTCTTACATATTTATTATGAAAATGCCATATGGGCATTCATTTTTTGGGCGAAATTACTGCAATTTGTTTGAGTGGTTAGGATAATGTTACATACATATAAACATTTACATATACATTTACATTGCGCAGTAGTGATAACATCATTGATAAGTACCTACCTTATTGGTATTAAAGTTAAATAAAAATATTTTTGTTCATTTTTGAAAATTTTATGCGTAGATATAATCATAATCAAAACTTCAACATTCAACAGAAAAATGTAACAAACAATAACAATAATATTTCGTTGGCCCTCCCCTAACCCGTAATAATTCGTTAACCCTCCTGGGCATTCCCTCGACCAAGTTCCTTAGAAATTCCTGGGGTACCCCATTTTTTGTGAATAGCATTTACCAATTCATCCAAATTTTCCATGCGTCCTTCCCTCTCTTTCATATTCAATTTCATCCTGCTCCACACATGCTCAATAGAATTCATATCCGGAGACAAAGGTGGCCAATTCATTCTCTCAATTTGGCGGGCATTGTCGTTCACCAACACCAATTATTGGCAAAATTTTGAGCAAAAGGGACCACGATATCAATAACAACCAAATCTCTAAATCTCTCAGCATTCACTCTTTCCACTTATCGCCATTCCACCCCAAAAAGTCACTCCTCCACTTCCAAAAGCCACCCTTGCCTCCCGTTTCGTGCAATCTTCTGCGAACCGTTGATTTGGAGATGTTAATTCCCGTAGCTGCAGCAAAGTCTGGCATTGGCATTTTAATCATTTAAAGGAAGAATAAAAGTAACCTGGGTAAGATAGGGATAGGTATGTAGGTAGGTAGGTATAACTTATGCAAAAAAAACTTCAAAATTTGGAAAAACACAAACAAACTGAAAAAATCAAGAATATCCCTCATAATGCGTTTTGAATGTTTTTCAAGAACTAATTTTTATCATTTTATCCTCGATTTCATCATTCAGCGACATGATAATAACGAACTAAAGATTCAAAACACAGTAAAAAAACAGTAAAAACCAGCAATCGGATTTTATTGAGACATTTAACAGCCGGGAATTATTTTCGAATCTTGATTTTGGTTTTATCTCAAACTTAAATTTGACAACTGAATCACAATCAGGAGGTCAAAATTATAAAGAAAACATGTCACGAACGTAAATATCAGTTTAGGTTTAGTTTTTTCAAACTTTCACAAAAATGTCTTAGCTTAGGCCCTCTGAAAATAAAGTTTGTTGCTTGTCGCTTGTTCAGAATTATTTAAGGAGTGTATTGCCTACAAAAAGCCTTAAATGTATTCTTTTGGGAAAAAATCATATTTTCGTTGCTAAGATTCCAATTCGAAAAATTTGAAAAAAAAAGTTTCATAATACTTCATTATTTCAAAGTAAAAACGAAAAAAAAATTATTTTTTTACAAACGGGGCTTGGATGAATTTATTGAAATTTTTCACCGGTTAACATATCACCCTGTAGCAAATTTACTTCGCGAACCGTGAGCTTCCTATCTATAGCATGAATTGCCAGAAGATGAGGCTAGCAGACATCACAGACCAAAATAAAATCGTTCAAGAAACAAAAAAGTTATGTCGTTTTGAAAAAGAACGAACTTTTTGGTCGCGACACATTGAGTGGAGCGTTCTTCCTACTTTGAATTGGGAATCCCCCAAATGGTATTGAAGCGATTGAATATTCTGAGTTGTGTGTATAGCATTTAAAACCCTTGGTTTATTTCAGATAACAGCAGTGAAACCTAGTTACCTCCGTATTTCATACAAAACAGATCCCCATCATGGAGTTATTATTAGAAAAGCCAGTGAATATATTGGAGATAGATTCTTTCAATGTGTTTTTAAGTATGAAGATATAGAAGAGTCGTTTGTGATAATCCTTCATGTACAAAGTAAATATTTTAAAATTTATTTAAATATTCATTTTGTTAAATATGTCAGGTCTTTTATGAGTTATGCTTTGGCCCCTAACGTCACTCAATAAAAAACTAAATAACATCTCTACATTTTAATAAGGCTACATGAGGAGTGATTTTTCAAAAGGCCTTATTTCCATTTTTACTTGAATGTAATTTTTTGACAAATCCCAAAGGTATGGTTAAAATTTTAAAAGGCATATATTAACGGCGAAATATGACAGCAGGTCTGAAGTATTATTAAGGCCCAGTTGTATAACAGTTGGTTAACAGCTGATTAGCTGATTAACTCTTGAATTTAATTTAATTTAATGTTTAGCGGTGCTCCGTTACTGACAAAGTGTACTACACTTAGTTATTGTGTGGTACACTTTGTCTGTCACGGAGCACCGCTAAACATTAAATTAAATTAAGAGTTAAATTTAAGAGTTAATCAGCTAATCAGCTGTTAACCAACTGTTATACAACTGGGCCTAAATATTCATATATTATATCACGAGAACTATGAATTTAATCGGTTAAACTATATATATATATATATATATATATATATATATATATATATAGGCTCAGTAGTTAATTGTTTGTTTTATCTTGGAAAATGTTGAATGCAAAATAATTTAATAAAATCACGAGACCGAGCGGTCGAGGGGTTTTATTTTTAATTATTTTGCATGAAACTATTTTCCAAAAAGAAAAATGAAATAAAAAACTTACCGAACATAGTTTGACAGATTAAATTTATAGGTTGAGTGATATACGTCTAGATTATTTCTCGAATTAAAGGAAACTATGACAAATAATTAATATTTGTTTATTTTAAAACATACAAAACATTTTTTTTAACTTTTATAATATATACCTATATAATATATAACTATTTAGTATTATTGCAATTAGTATAAAAGTTACAAATATAGTAATTGTTTTTTTGATTATCATTGCTGTTGACTGTAGGGGATGTTTTTGAGCTGCTACAAGAAGATGTATTATTTGGCATGTCTCTCATTTTATTTATTATTTCAAAATGATGTTGTGGATCCATTTGAAGGTAAGGCTTGAGTGATGATGCGCTACTGTGCCCCGTTATTTTTATAAGCTGTTGTTCTTCAGTACCACTTTTAGCAAGTTTACTGACAGCTGTCGATCGGTTGGAGTGGTTGGTTATTTTAGCTTTTTTAATACCAATTTTCTCGGCAGCATGTTTTGTCCATTTTGACACCTCATTTTTTCCCAATGGGCATCTCTAGCAGCTTTAAAAGTAATATCCCGGAAGGGATCAAAAGTTATGCCATACTCGTTATGGTACTTTTCTTGAGTCTTTTTAGCTACTAGGTATATTCCACATCGTTTTAATTACTCCTTTGTATTCTTCGCCATTTTTTTTTCGCATATTATATCCCCAGTCCTTCAAAATTTTAGCCAATTCCTTTAAATTAGTTTTGTTGTCCAGTTGCAACTAGTTGGTAGCTTCTTTCTTTACAGAATTCTAAAAATTGCTGCCATATTAAATGGTGTATCCTTTTTGTGTTTTTTGGAACTGTGTAATTTCCACATCGATTTTTTGTAAAGATAATTGTCCAAATCTATCCATATTTTTCAAATTACCATTAAATTTACGATATAAACACTTAAAATGACGCTGTTTACATTTTAGTTGCCATAGTGATAAATGCAAAAATATTTTAAATGGCACTCTATTTGACAATTAATAAAATCTGACGTATATGTTAAAATCTTAGGTTAAAATTTATGAACAATTTTTTTAACAAAATTCCATTAATTTAAAGATATGTAATAATTAATAATTGATATTTCGTAAACTAAATAACTTGTTTTTTATTATTTAAAAAAAAACTGTATGTTAAAAATTGTAAATAACACCATAAAATCGTAAACAAAAATCCAATATGGAAGTTCTAGTGATTTAATCGTTTATTTAAACAAAATTTATTCGAAAATTCAAGGCTTTTGATTGGTTCATATTATAATGAGGGAAATAATCATCAGAATTTTTTTCTAAATAATCTATATTGCCCTAACCTATACAGGTTATAGTCGACAATTTTTCAAAAAATGATCATTTTTTTGAAAAATTGTTGCAAATGGAAATACGACCTTTTGAAAAATCACTCCTCACATATCGTTACATTTCGGCTAAAATTGAAGCCAACTTCCTTTTGTAAAATTTGGGGATTTACAGAATGTCACACATATTTGATTTAATTTAGGTAAACCAAAACTAAAAATAGTAAGTGATGGGGAACTGTTCCACTTAGTAAACCAAAATTCGACAGTGACTTGTACGGTGACAGCAAATCCTCCACCAAAAATTAACTGGTTTTTCGAAGATATCGAAGGTCTCGCCATAAAACAGGTATTATTATGTTGTTTAAAAATAATTTGGATTATATTTTTTGATTTTAGCTCAACGAATCCAGCAACTCCTCAAATGGCTTAAATTACGAGTTTAATTCCACTGTAACAATCAAATCTTCAACAGATGGATTTTTAAAGTGCAATGCTTCAAATAGTGAAGGGACGGAAGATGACCAGGTTGTATATTTAGTTTCGGGTAAGTTGTTTTACTTTATTTATGTTCTTTTATTTAACTTTTTTCAAATTTGATTAGTTGGTCTAAAAGTTAAAAAAGTAATTTCGTATTGTACTTTGATCAGCCGATTAGTTTCATAAAAAAGTAAAAACCTAGCTTTCTCTCTTTCTAGATGTTAAAAACGGTTTCGACTTCACTGGCTTAGAAGATTTCTATGTATCGCACAATAACGTTTACCTTGCTATAGACCAAAAAATTTCCTTAATGTGTGGGACATCTGTATTAGAATATTATGAACCGGTATGGTATGTCAACAAGACTCTGGTGAAAAAGAGTTTTGGTAAATTTGTTCTGGATACAGCTAGAACCAATTATAGCAAAAAAAGTTTTCTTCTAAAAGAAAAAGCTGAATATACAGATAGTGGATACTACGAGTGCAAGGTTCGAAGAAAGTACTACCCACATATAAATATTCACTATGGTTTATCTGTTATGGATAAATCGCCATTACGGGTAGTTCTGAATCATAAAACAACTGTCAAGTTAAATAGAACACACCCTATTACCTTGACTTGCGATGTCTTTGGTTTGCCAAAACCCAAAGCAGTTTGGCTCAAGGTAAGCGCAATTTTTTGCTGTATATTTTGAATTAATTGCTAATGCTTTTAGGACGGACAAGAGATAAAATCCTCAAAGAAAGTGTATTTTAATGGAGTGCCTTATGTAAGATTAAACATAAACGTTCTTGAAGAAGGTACTTATGAATGCTTAGGAATTTTGAATGGCACCATTTCAAAGCAAATCTATGTGGAGTCTGAAAGTAAGATTTAACTGGTTTGAATAAATACAAAATACTAATTTTTGATTTAAGCAACATCATCAAAGTTGTTGTTCATATGCCTTGGAGTATTTTTAGCACTTTTGGTTTTCGTTGTGGCTATTGCTTTAAAAATTTACAATTTAAAACAGGTAAGTGGCACATAATTTACTTCTCCTAGTTTTGTGATAGATGACAATGGTAAAAAAGAATTTGCTATAGTTAAATAACAAACTAATTTTAATTAATTCGGACATTTTTAACATATGTACAATTAAAATTAGATGCATATAAGTTGGTTTGAATATTGGCCCAGGGAAATGTATTTAAATTTTGTGAATAAATTATTTTAATAGTTACAATATTTAATTACATATATATTTTTTTATATTTAAAAATTAAACATACCCACTACAATGACAACTGAAACATTTTCCAGAAAATAGAATACGAAATGAATCAAGCAGGTTTAGATAACTTCAAATCCGGCGCCATAAAAAATCTAAACCCGAAACTGGCAATTGACAAACAAGCGGACTTGCTGCCTTATGATAACAAATTCGAATTCCCTAAAAAAAATTTGATTATCGGCGAACAGCTCGGTTCAGGGGCATTTGGTGTTGTAATGAAAGCAGTGGCGAGGAATATTTTGGACCACGAAGACATGACTGTTGTGGCTGTAAAAATGGTGAAGGAAATCGGTGATCCTGCACTAATTAAGGCCTTGGCATCCGAGCTTAAGATTATGGTGCACCTTGGAAAGCATTTGAATGTTCTTAACTTGCTGGGAGCTTGTACTCGGAACATTTTTAAAAGTAAGAAACATTTGTATTGCTTGCTTGCCTGCTTGCCTAATTTGCATTTTAGACTCCAAAATTATTAGGGACAAATTTTAGGAGAACTCATGATCATAGTGGAATTCTGTCCCTACGGAAACCTACACAACTATATACAAAGACATCGAAACCACTTTGTTAACCAAATTAATCCCACCACGCAATCAGTAGATTTTACAATTGGGGTGGAGGTTCTTGAAAAAGTATATTCAGCTTCAAACAGGTTGGTATATATAATTATAATTTATGCAATTGGAATATTTTAAAAGAAAACTATTTTAGTTCTGCTGTGGAAGATCCCGGTTCCAGTAAAGGTTCAAGCGTATATTATACTGCAAGAACTGAAATGTCTTCTTTATCCAACAACTGTGAAGGTAAGAATTATTACTTCAAGTTAATCATATTCGTTATTAATATACATGTTTTTTAGTTAATGATGAGTTTTACCTAAGCAACAACTGCTGTATCCAACCTGATTCCGGAGCAAACTATAAGGGAGACTGCAAAGAAAATGTAAAACCAATTTTCACAAAGAATTTGATATGTTGGTCCTTCCAGGTTTCCAGGGGAATGGAGTATTTGGCTTCCAGAAAGGTTACATTAAAATGTATAGAATTAAACGTTTATAATATTGTAATTTAAGGTTTTGCATGGAGATTTGGCAGCAAGAAACATTTTGTTGTCTGAGAATAACATAGTAAAAATATGCGACTTTGGTATGGCCAAAAGTATGTATACCAATGTAAACTATCAAAAGAAAGGAGAGGTGATATAAATCGATAATATTTTGTATACCTACCTACTAATATGTTTTTAAGGCTTTGCTTCCAATAAAATGGATGGCAATAGAATCTATAAGGGACAGCATTTTCTCAACTCAATCAGATGTTTGGTCTTTTGGTGTGGTTCTGTGGGAATTTTTCTCGCTATCCAGAACCCCGTATCCTGGTATTTCACCTTGTAAAACCCTTTATGATAATTTGGTCAGTGGTTATAGAATGGAAAAACCGGAGTTTGCCCCAAAAGAAATGTAAGAAGTTTAAATAATAGCAAACATTTTAATTTTACATGCTTTAATTTTATAGCTATAATATGATGAGGGACTGTTGGTTGGAGGAACCACAAAGTCGGCCATCATTCGAAATCCTGACTGAACGTTTGGGTGACCTCTTGGAGGACAAAGTTAGAGGGGTAAGCAATTATTGTAATAACAAGGGTGAACACTAAGTATAAGTATTTCCTAAATATTAGAATCAAATATGGGGAATATTTGTATAATTGTTACCTTTTCCATTAGATATCGAATGCAATAAAGTATTTTTATATTTTTGTAGCACTACATTGATCTCAACGATCCTTACTTGAAAATGAACACCGAAACATTGAAAACTCGAAGCGATTATTTGGCGATGGTACTAGATTTCGGTGTGCTATCCTCTCCAGTTTCAGACGACTGCCCCGATCCCTCCGATTTAGACTCCTTGGAGAAAGTTGGAGATATAACGAGTACTCTGAATAACTACGTTAATATGAATCAAAATTCCTAATTATCCTAATGACAAGTTTTTACAAAGTGAGAATCTTAGACAGCACCTGAGGTCAACTTAGTAAATCAACAAACTGCTTGTCCGATTTTGCTTAAACTCTGTAATATAATAAGCTGACAGAACATTGTATTTTCATTTATAATTGCTTTATATTTATAACATAAAATACTAAGAAACACTTAATTGCATTATTAATCCCATACATCTACCAAGGTCTGTAACATCTTTAATTAATTTGCCATATAATTAACATAGCAATTAAAATAAAATATAAAATATTCATTAAAGACATGTGTCGCATTGATATAATTGCAGGAAGACGTGCCAATTTTACTTTTAATAATGAATTACTTAAATGTACCTATATAAGGTTTTGCACCTTTTAATAAAGCTTAGTTTCTTAGTTTATTGAAAGATCCTATAAAATGGACCCAAAACCAAATTGGAAAGAAGTAAGCATTTTGATGCTACTGTGCGGTACCTGGCCCACAGAACTAACACCCAATAAAAGTTAAAGTTTATTCAATCAAATTTGTTTGAAGCCATAAGGGATGGATGTTATTACAAATATTATATTCAGCCCATAACAAAATATTATCAAGTTAAAATTACTGGTTATAGAGTGAATGACTATTTAGATTTAAACCTAATGAAAATGTTTACTTCCTTGAAAATTTTAGAAATGATTGTATACAAAGTTTATCTAATCAAGGTAAAATTAACAATATTTAATTAAATATAAAATTGATTTATATTAAAAGTTATAATGCTTCAACCAAAAATTAAAAACAAATGAAATAAGAATAGTCTTTGTTTCTTTTAATGTTTATGATTTTTATATCAATGGAAACTAAGGTAAAGTAAGTTATTACTGTCTACAGTGAATACCAATGTTTTCACTATCTTGAAAAATACTTGTTATTTGCCCAATTATAATTATCATATATACTCCCTAATCCCGAATTTTCAAGGTAAGTTGTACATGTTTTTTAATTGAATGTTCGCCATACATTATCCAGGAATTTAATTACTCAATTATATCTAAATGATAACAAAAAAGTAAATGTGTACTCAGGTATATACCATGGACACAGTTTATCTTAATATTTGGTGTCATGTCTTAAAATTGCTATTTTGCTTGAATGTACGAAGTTTTTATTTATTTATAAAAAACTTCTCATAGTCTTTCAGTACCATCATGATATTCTTGCAGGGCGTCCTGAAAGTATATATTGCTTCAGCAATCTCTTTCGCCTCTAAATACATAAGATGAAATTCCTATTTCGTTTTAAGCCGATCATACATCTGACGAAAGTTTCCATTCGTTCGCATCCGCTCGCAGCTTTGCTCGAAACGGGAGCGAACGTTTCTAGGGGGTCTTCCCACATATACGAAAAGTTTCTAGCGTTTGCAGTAGTTCGCAGTCTTTCACAGTCTTTCTATGCATTCGTCAGTGTGTACACGCCGTTTCGAAATGTCCAGTTAACAAGTAAGTATTTGGTTTATTTATATATATAAAAAATTAAAATTATTACAAAACATTGGCAAAGCGTGGAATTTTTGGATGGGTAGACAAATATACGGTTAGTTAACTGATAATATAAGTAGGTATATCAATGATTATTATTAGTATTATTACCGATAATTAAGCTACCGATATACTATATATATATATATATATATATATATATATATATACACGACAACAGTGACTGTCAACAACTGATTAAAGCAAGAGTTTTTGCTTGTATTAATTCTTCTTGCCTACATATAAACGTTCGCTATGAGGCGCCGTTTGTGCCATAATTATGATTTATAAAATATAGAATTATTTGTAAAAATATAAATTTTTTTTGTAAAAATATAAATATTTTATCTAATATATATATATTTTAGCTTATTTTATAACATATATATTAGTTTTACTAAAATATAATAATATTTTTACAAAATAATATTTATTTAAAATATTTATATATTTGGACAGTTGAACTAATAATATAATTTTAATACTAATAATATAAACTCAGCTTACAAGACGTAACGCCAGGAGGCGCTGGCTGCTTTATTTAACTTGGCAACGCAGCCTGTCTGTAATTGCATGTCGGAATTACTGTGGTGTAAATTAAATAAAACTAGAAGATACATTAAAAATAATAATACCTCTGGTACGTAATAAAGCACTTGAATATAAGTTTAAATTAAAATCTAACAGATTAATAGGTCATTTAAAATTTCACCGCAGTAATGGAACCAAATCGACGACATAGTTTTGCGTAGCCCAGAATTAAGGAATAAAAAAATATTGTTTAAAAAGAGAGTCACGACAATAAACATCCAGTTAAACATATAAAAAATAACAAAAAGCCAAAGTGCGGCAAAAAGTTATTTAATTTACACCACTGTAATTCTCACATGAAATGAAAGAAAGTGTGCGTTGCCAAGTTAAATAAAGCTGCCAGCGCCTCCTAGCGTTGCGTCTTGTAAGCTTAGTTTATATTATTAGTATTGAGTTTATATTATTAGTATTACTGTTTTAAATATATATTATTTAGTTAAAATATTATATATTTTAGTAAAACTAATATATATCTTAGAAAATGAGTTAAAATATATATATTTCAAACAAATTATTTATATTAAAAAAAAATATTTATATTTTTACAAATAATTCTATATTTTATAAATCATAATTATGGCACAAACGGCGCCTCATAGTTCGCATTCGTTCGCAGGTAGGATTTCCCTTTGATCTTTTTAAATAAACCGACAACCGATGGAGCGCTTTCGTTCGCATTGCTAGTAGAGAGGATTCGCGGCGAGCGGAGGCGAAGAAAATGGGTAGCAATTTGCTACCCATTTTCTTCGCCTCCGCTCGCCGCGAATCCTCTCCTACACCTGACAAAAATTCGTCGGCAACGCGAACGAATGTAAACTTTCGTCAGATGTATGACCGGCTTTAGAATAACCATGTGCCCAGTGTTGTAACGTAACTAGTTACAAGTAACTAGATACAGTATCTAGATACTTTTTATGTATCTGTTTGTGTAACTAGTTACTTATCCCAATCTAGTAACTATAACTGTAACTAGTTACAAATTCTAAGTAACTAGGTGTGCTAAGATATAAAGATACATTTTTAATTAAACTGCGAAATATTATAAAAAAATAAGTTATTTTAATTTAAATATTATAAAAAAAAATAAAAATAATAAACATATATATTTTTGTTTTCACTTTAAAATTCCCTTTTATTTCTATTTTAAATTTTTTAAAGCAAAAAATAATTTGTATGTATCTTAAAGTATCTAGATACTTTTTGAAGGTAACTGTATCTGTAACTAGTTACTGCAATAAAATATGTATCTGTATCTGTATCTAGTTACAAATTTTGGTAAGTAACTGTAACTGTAGCTAGATACTGAAAATATTGTAACTGTTACAACACTGCATGTGCCATGGCAGACAGATCCTGCACATCAAGTACAGTAACTGTTGCTAGTGATGGGTCAGCAACTTTCTTAGAGCCTAATATCACCAACACTTCTAGTGGGTTCCTAATAGTTTCTACAGAAAACAGAGCAATTTCATTTTATGGATCGAAAAACCTGTGTACACAAGACTACCTGAAGCAGATTCCAGAATTCATTTTATTTAAAGTTCATATTAATGTATTATACAACTAATATTTGCACAAGAATAGGTATACATATTTAAAGGAATTAGAGCTTTGATTGCATTTAATGTAGCCATTCATTATAAACCATAACTTTATTTATGCCAATGATAGTTTTTCATTAAGATTCATTGGGGCTTAAATTAAATAACAATTTAATTCAATAATTTCTTATGTTTTAACTAACTAAGTTTTAAGAGGTTTAAGGGATTTAATAGAATCACAATTTAATTCAATGACTTCTTATGTTTGAACTAATTTTCATTTGATCATAGCTGTAATTCAGGTATTGCAAATACAGTACACTATTGGCTCAATGTTTAACCCATTCACAATATGAAAGCTTGTTTCCGTGATAATAAGTAACCTTTTATGCTTTATGGCGCTTTAGTCACGGGCTGAAATTAGTTTTAAGTTAGTTGGCAGTTGTAAAATGTCATACAATTAATAAACTTAAGTGCCTTTCTTGTAATATAATACTAAATGTGAAAATTATTTTAGTATCTCAACGTAAAAATACAAAAGTTTATATGAACATTTGTACCTACTAACCTTTTGAATTTGCCTTAGTAGTGCAGTTAACTGGATTTAACTGGTAAAGCGTCAAAATTTTTGCGTACAGTGCCTATTAAATATTCTCTTCTCTTTTACTGTGAAAAACTGCTTCTATTTCAATTGTTATATATTTTCAAGGGATAAATTTTGATTTACACAAAAAAATTTAAGATTTTATAGTTATTTTATTGTTTTAAAGTATCAATAATTAATAGTTTAATTAAAATAATAACGGGAATGGTAATGGTGAAAATTACGTCAAAAATGTTTATTCGAACGGTTACTTTATTTTCGTATAGATATCGCTTTATACAAAAATTTAATCTAATTCATTTTTTAGATAATATTTAGTATTTTTCGAAATAAAAGTATATATACCATAGTATGCAAGTCGTTTATAAACTTTTCTAGGTACTCATTTAATTAAGCACTCGCTCGCAAGCTCGCTCTTGCCTAAGTTAAATTCGTGACTAAAATGGCGTTTATCAAACTTGATACATAATACTTAGGTATACTATAGTATACAGGGTGAGTCGGGAGGAACGGACCAAACTTCAGGAGTGTATTATACAAATGAAAATAATGTAAAAAAACTCATATGTTCTTATCCGATTTTTGTTTGTTTTCAAATTATAGCGCAAAACAAAAGTTCATACATTAACGTTATTTTAATCATAGCGTTCTTTTAATAAATGTTCGAAAATATAGCCATTGACCTCTAAACATTTTCTGTTTCGTCTACGAAGAGTGCCTGTTGCTCTCCTAATTG